CAGGCCGCCCCAAGAGCTCTTCTGTGGCGGAATGCATTAACAGGGGGTGCTCTCCGGATGCTTTCCAGCCCCAACCTACTCTTCGGCAACAGCGGAATCAGCACGCAAACAGCAGGTGCAATCGGAAAGCGGACGGGGGCAATCGCAAGGAGGCCGGGAAAGGGAACAAACTCCGCTGGGAGGCAAGGGGTTTGGACCACGACATTGGCTGAGGGGGAAAAGGGATGTATCATCAGGCACCATTGCCATCATTATCGGCCTCCATTCCCCTCAAGGAGGCAAGTTTTGGCCTCCCGGTGGAGGGTTTGCACGCTGATAACAGAGGGGAGGAGGAATCGACAGAGTCGTCGTCTGATTCATCGGACACATCGGAGTCGTTGGACTCCTCAAACACAGAGATACCGGACAGCAGACTGGAGAGCGGCCAGTCAGATCATCAGATTGCAGGAACAAGAGCAGGAAATGACGGGCGGGGAGACTTTGAAAAGAATGGACTCTGCTCCTGCCGGCCATCATCGGAGGAAGACAGTCAACAGCAGCAAGAGAGTCAGCAGCAGCAGGGCCCGTTGGACCAGATAGCCAAGTTGGTGCGGCGGGAACACGTGGGGGCTCGGCTGAAGGGCATCATGCGGGCGGGAGAATGTTATGTTTGTCCCATTGCCTTCTGGCGAGCGACGGATGAGATTCAGCTCCTTATGGAGGGAGCGTCGGAAGTGCCAGTTTTAGGGGTGACAAAGCAGCAGCAAGAGCAACAGGTGTTGAGGGAGGTCCGCAAATGGGTGGGCCTGAGGTACGAAGTTATATCGCTGCCCCAGATCTCGGCATCACGATATGTAAGACAAATGGTGGATGGCAAAGTGCATGTGGTGCATGTTTACTTCACAGAAGCCTTTCCCAAAAAGTCGGGTAAATAGCAGGAGTTTCCAGATTGAAAAATGAGGCGGTAGGTTTCGTAGATGAGGGAGTGCGGACGAGGGAGAGGGAAGAGATAGTGGAGTGATAGAAACGCAGGCAGTCGGGAATGAGGAATACTACGGGGATTGGAAGAAACTGCAATCGGTTGATGGTGCTCACGTGGAATGTGAGAGGGTTGGGATCTAAATCAATCCTGCCCAAAAGAAGGGAGTTGGCAAGAAAAGTTCGGGTCGAGCAAATAGATGTAGAAATAGTAGTATGTTTGGAGGAGACGAAGTTAAATGAGGCCAGAACAGCAGAGCCCATGCTATGGTGGAAGGGGCACCAGGTGTGGGCCCCGGCACGGCGTATGCATTCTGGTCTCCCCCCATTTTTGGGGGGAGGTAATAGACTGGTTCTATGACTCGCGGGGCTGGTGGGCATGGGTTCTATCGCAATGGGGGGAGGTAACCTGGGGGGTGGCCGCAGTATACAGGAAGACAGGGGTTGGAGGACGGCGCAGGATGTGGGAACGAATGCAGACTTTGGTCCCGGAAGTAAATAACATAATAATTGTCAGGGATTTCAATTCGATAATCAATCCGAAGCTCGACTCCGTGGGTGACCGGCAAGTGGAGGTGGATTTGCTGGCATTGGTTAATGGAATGACAGGGCTGGGCCGTACAGACTCATATAAAATGTTATATCCACCGACATGGGTTTTCAAAAGCGAAGAATATTGGCTGGTGGTGGCCAGCTTCTGGGAAAAATGATTGGAAGGAGAACCTGCTGGAGCATGTGATGACAGTGACCCAGAGGCTGAGAGTAGACTTGCAGAAGCAATTGTGTTGCAGCTACCTGGCGCATCAGAGAACAGGTGAGGAGTTCGCTCGTAGGTTGGAGGACCTGAATCGAGGCCCGGCAGAGGACCAAATCGAGGAGTGGCGGGCAGAGAGAGTGGAGGCAGCCTAAGGATGGAGGGAGTGGCAGGGCAAGGAGGCGAATAAGTGGGGCAGACGCACGAAGGAGGCATGGATCTTAGTGGGAGAACGTATGTCGCGCCAATTCTTTCTAAAATCGCTGCACGCAAGGCCACGCTGACAATAACAGCTATGGACCACCTGTTCGATGAGCACGTAGAGCGGCAGCGTACCACACGCCGCATATTGAAGTGTGTCACAGACTTCTATCGCCGCCTTCTCGCTGAGGAAGAGCATTGGACCAGCGAAGACATGCGTAGAGAGCCGGAGGAAGAGATTTGGAGGCATGTTCAGCAGCGGCTCGACCTCGAGAGCATGTGCCAACTAGAGGAGGACATCACTATCGACAAGGTGCAGAAAGCGATCGCAGACTTCCCTAGACTCCAGGCTTGGATGGAATGCCGGTGGATCTATACAAGGATTATCGCAACTTCTTCTCTACTCTGTGAACAGCAGCTATCAATGAGGCACTCCGGTATGGCCCCCTTCCACAGGGCCTTGCAGACGCATATGCAGTCTTGCTGTACAAGAAAGGGGCAAAGGAGAATGTGTGCAACTGGCGACCGATATCGATCTTAAATGCGTTATATAAAATATTGGCCAAGATACTGGCATCCCGCCTGAGAGAAGTGCTACTGCACATCATCGATCAAACTCAAACGGGTTTTGTGACAGGCCGCCAGACATTATTGAATGTACTGCTGGCTCAGCAGATACTGGAGGAGGAACAGTGCACAGGTCAAGCAATGGCCTTTTTATCTACCGACGTCGAGAAGGCCTATGATCAGGTCCGCTGGGAATTTCTGCTGCAGGGAATGGCGCGGTGAGGAATAGGGGGCATCTTTTGCAGTTGGGAGTGGAACCTGCTTACAGCAAGTATGGTAATGCAGGTTAATGGAGTGAGGTAAGACAAACTGAAAGTTACCCGCTCAGTGAGCAGGGGTGCCCACTATCCCCGGCCCTCTATGTTATTTACATCGAATCAATGCATGAAATCTTGAGAGCTGATAACCGCCTAATCGGCGTAAAGGCAGAACCAGCAGTGGAACTGCAGACTACAGCTTTTGTGGATGATACCGGTGCTATGATCCCCCCGACCGCTCAACAGTTGGGGATCCTGAAAGAAGACTTGACACTCTTCCGCAGGTACTCGGGGGCACGAGTTAATTGGCATAAATCAAAGATCATTCTTCCACTTAACAAGTGAATTCAAACTCGTCTTCCTGTCACTTTGTCATGCCTGCAAACAGCGGTACAGCAACTGGCGACATGCGCCCACACAGTACTCAAGATATCGTAACCAGAT